CCCCAAAACCCCAAAACCCCTAAATGCAAAATTTGCTACTTAATCAATGAAATAAGTTAAAAATGTTGGTACTAATTAAAATAGCAGTATACATACTTGATATTTTTAAATAAATTTGTATAGTTGAGACAATAAAATAGTATTAGATTTATCAATTTATTGAATGAAGAAAAATTTGTAAAAGTCATTACTCCCGCTTGAGTTTAACAATAACTAGCCTTAAGATTTGTTTGAGATAAAATTGCAAATATATAACAACTAAGAGACACGGTTTATTACTCTATAATGCGATTCTAAGTACACTGAGAAATTTAGAAGTATTTTGAGTCACCAAAACTCACATCAGTTTTTGAGAGAATTCATCAATAGGGGTCCTGAAGAAATTGATCAAATATTGACGATGCTTGATCAACAAAATCAAACATTCAGTATTTTAAATCAACTTAATAACTTTCATAGATTCTGATAGTGAAATTTTAAATACAAACAACTTAACAAATGAGCAATTTAGAGAAGAATTGTGTCATTATCCTGATGTCTGACTTAACAACTCGAATAAATTCCATTAGAATGTCGAAGAGCTGTCAGGAAATGGCTATGTAAGCACTGCTTTGGATGCAAACATTCAAATGAAGTCTACAATTGATCCTTAAGCTGCATATTTTTGGAAAGAAGCTGAAAGAGTAATTTTTATAAAAGCACTACACTAGCATGGTAAAAGTTGGAAATTGATAAGCAACAATTTTGAGTAAAGAGATAAATATCAATGCAGAAGTCATGGACAGAAATATTTAAAGTCTCTTAAAGTACTCTAAGAGATAAGTCAGAGAGCAATCGAAGGTGAAAGCATGCCATCCGATAAAGATCATATTAAGATTAAAAGCTACGAGTAAGATAGATGGTAGGTACCATATATGTCAATTAATAATCGTATCTTTAGTTAGGTTTTGAAGTCCCTTAAGTCACAAAAAGAATCTTTACAAGATTATTAGTTGAATTCTCAATTTTTCCCAAGATATTTGTATAATCTAATTATTGATGACCAAGAGCCGCAGCTCATGTAATGTACTGATAAAATGAATCAGATAAACAAAGCAATATCCAATGAGCTCAATTATTACGATAAAGTAAGAAACCATTTTATATTTACATAATCTTAATGCTAGTATAAGGAAGAAAAGAAAATAAAGAATTAGCAAAAGAAGACTGCTAAAAATCCCTATTCATAAACTTAATTGGCAAATCAAACTTTTTCAATAGAAAATATTGTTAAAGTAGAGGATTTAGACCAAGTCTTATCAAGGAGACAAAAGAATTGAAGAAGATTTTAATTCTAGTTAAGACTTGATGATATATTATTTCTAGAACTCATGAGTGGAGTAATTGATTATGGATTCGTTAACATTAATTTTCTATTTATTTAAAAATTTTATAATACTCCTTAAGTGTAATCCTTTAATTAGTTTAATTGAATATAGAGAGCTTATAAGATTAACATAAAATATCTTCAATATTTTTGAATAAGTTTTATTGATTTCATAATAGTACAAACACCTTGGTTCAGCAATATAGGATGCATGGGGTTTTGGGGTTTTGGGG